AATATAGACACAAACACACACATATACACACACACACACTTACACGCGCGCACACAAACAGAAACCCACACACTCAAACACGATTGCACTCGCACCCCCCTCACAACGTATACAACCACAACCACACACAGATGCGAGCCGATCTCAGGCAGCGCGCTATACCAGACACAGTCTTGGACACAGCAGCTGCGGATGGGCCATCGGTGGACGAGATGAAGAAGTACAACAACAGCTTAACCAAAGCAGGCAATGCGCTAGACACCTTCTTCACCCCACGCACACTGGATGTGCTGGTGCTGGCCACAGCCACGGATCCCAAGAAGACTATGGACGCGTTAAGGTTGATGAAGGATGTTGCAGAGACCTTCGAGCTGCCAATTACTATGCACACCCTGGCCATTGCGACTGCGGTAGGCACGCGTGCGCATGTGTGGAGGGGTGTTTGGATGTGTGTTTTTGTGTGTTTAGATGTGTTTTTGTGTGTTTGTATGTGTGTAGATATGTGTTTGTATATATGTACACGTGTGTTTGTGTATGTAGACGTGTGTTGGTATATATGTAGATATGTGTTTGTATATATGTACATTTGTGTTTGGCTGTATTTAGACGTGTGTTTGTTCGTATTGTATACTGAGATACCTTATAGAAACAGGAACACATCCAATACACTCATCCTAGCACACCCAACACAGGCGTGTATGCGGGCGATAGAAACGCCGGCGTCTCAGTTCGAGGGCCAGGAGTGGTATCCGGCGAAGCTCTGGGTGCAGATGGAGCAAGGGTTGGCAGAACATCAGCAGGGAGTGGTCGACAGTGAACTCTCGCTGGATGTGCTGAACCTGGCCATCAAGCACAAGCGGGTATGAGTCAAAACCTGAAACCTTAGATGAGTGAGTGGGTGTGTTAAGCACAAGCGAGTACGAGTCAAACCCTAAAACCCTAGATGAGTGAGTGGGTGTGGCAGTATGTGCTTACAGGAGTATGTATATCGATAGGTAGCACGTGGAGGAGTACGGATGAACCAGTGACCGCTCGCGCGCGCGTGTGTGTGTGTGTGTGTGCACGCATGTACCGCGAACGTGTACGCTACCACCTTGACTGATGGGCGCAGGGCTGTGTGTGACCTCTGACCTGTCAACGCAGATGAACTAAATATCCGTCACTGGCGGTGCTTTGTGTCTGGGGAGTACATTGCTATGCGAGGTCTTTCCCCTTACGAAGCAAACCCTGATCCCATCCATATGTAGTTTTTATGCCGATTAACCCAGTTTGAATCCTAATTTCATCGATTTGTAGCTTTTTTGGACGATTAACCAGGTTTCATCAATATATGGTTAAAACGAATCAATAGGGTTTCAGCTCCCGGAATCGGTTTACAGCCACCACAGCACGCCCGCTCAACCCTGCACTAACTCGTCTCTGTCATTGCCCTCACTACAGACGGGTACTGTGCGATCGGTTGTTCAAAGTATTCTGTCACGGGATGTAGAGCTTGATCTAGGGACATTCATCAAAATCTTCACACTAGCAGCGAACATGCAGGACGGCACGCTGGCTGACTGTATGTGACTGTGTGGATGTTCTGTATGCGTGTAGATGTACCCAGTTGTTTACAATGTGCTTGTGTAAGTTTGGGAATGCGTAAAAGTGTACTACAAATTTTCCATGCGTTATGAAGTATGGCTGCTGTACTAGCACGCTATTAGTATTACCTCTTCCTTACCCTTATCCACCACTTGTTCATACGTCTTCCTTATCCTTATGCACTACTTCCTTTGTTCTCAGGGGCTCATCAGAAACTAGAGAGACGTAACATGAACATGTCCGACCCCTTTGTGACGGGGGCAATGGCCAACGCGTACTTGTCCACAAGGAACTACTGCAAAGTGTTTGAGATATACTACTTTGAGAAGAAGTATGCTGTCCTATCGTTAAACAACCATCAGTGTGTGTATCTATCGTAGTACCCCCTGCAAAGTGTTTGAGATATACTACTTTGAGAAGAAGTATGTTGTCCTGTCGTTAAACAACCATCAGTGTGTGTATCTATCGTAGTATTGCTACTACCCATTAGTGTGTGCACGAGTCATAGTGTGTGGGGTTGAACACTGTATAGCTTTTTTCATATGACATGTGAATTGATTGACACTTAACTGAAATCTACGTTCTTCTCCTTTTTTTCTATTTCTTTTTTAATAGTAATTTGACAATCGTGTCTAGTTCTCACATACATGACGAATACAATAGGACAAACGGCTATTGCTGGATTGGCGCATATCATAACTGCCACTGAGCCCCACCTCTGAACCACGTATACTACTGGTAGTAGAACTGCTCAGTACGAACTCAGTATGACTTCTATCATTTGTTGTGTGTAACATCTAACATTTGTTCAGTATGGCATCTATCATTCGTTCAGTGTGGCATCTTATTATTTGTGTTATCGTCGTTGGTAGGCATACTACACACGCTACATTCGCTTTACTAAACCCTAAATATCCTCAAACCCTATAAACCCTAAACCCCCGTATCTACCTACTTGAAGGTGAAGTACTCATTCGCGTATCTGCATGTTGCATCCTCTTACCGTTGCGTTCGTTATCATCTCCACAGAAAGCGAGAGAAATCGACACTCCACAATACCACATCGCCAGAAGACTCTGTGAAGTCGCCAGAGCTACTTCATTTGCCCGGTCTTTTAGCCATGCACCACTGGGATGGTAGCAACGCAATGGAGGCGGCCAATCAGATCCTCAGATCTCACCAGTCGGCCGATGCGATTTGTAATCTGCTGGAAGGCGTCGGAAAGCATTTCAAGTTACATCCCGATCGAGGAACGGTGTGTGACAAGTGTCCGTGTTCGTAGTTTGTTTGTTTTTTATGTGTCTGTTATGCACAATACGGTTACCATGGTGACTGGCTGTCCTCATCCCAAGTAGGTAGGTATAGTGATGCACAAAAAGGTTACCATGGTGACTGACAGTCCTCCTCACAAATAGGTAGGTATAGCGATGCGCAAAACGGTTACCATAGTGACTCCTGTGCGAATATGTAGGGCTGTCCCAAAGGCACAAATGGCTTATGGTATGTTATATATTCAATGTGGAGGCATGGCCGCTCCCACACTCACACCTTGAATCTTGAATTCTCTACTGAAACATAGGCAACCGCAGTGGAGACTGTCGCGCTCCTCGTGCAGACGTTTGCATCCGACCCACAGCACAAACAGGTGAGTGGGTGTGATCAAAATTCTGCAAACGCTTATCAAAGATAGTCCTATTTAGTACCGCAGCACATGTGTGCATGTATGTCTGCTTGTTCACAAATCATAGGCAATGCAAGCGACCTCATTGATCCCGGTTTGCCCCGTTGTCTCAACGCTATAGCACGGTGAGCGTAGTTGTGCCACACCATACGGCTCCGTTTCGTAGCGTTCTACCTACCATCCACTTCCATCATAGCATGCTACCTACCATCCACTTCCATCATAGCATGCTACCTACCATACACTTGCATCATAGCATGCTACCTACCATACACTTGCATCATAGCATGCTACCTACCATCCACTTCCATCATAGCATGCTACCTACCATCCACTTCCGTCGTAGCATGTTACCTACCATCCAATTCCATCATAGCATGCTACCTACCATTCACTTCCATCATAGCATGCTACCTACCATCCACTTCCATCATAGCATGCTACATACCATCGACATCCGTCATAACATCCTACCCATTCCACCTACAATCCACCTACATCGGTTCTGTCTTGATTCGATTGCCGAACTGCCTTACGTCGTTTAAATCGTACCCGTCACTTGTGGATGGATGTTCGTTAATGCATCATTTCATCTCTTCTATAACTCCTTTCACATACAAATGTATACCATATAACCCCTTCTCACACCCATTTCACATACAATTACATTGCATCGCCCTGTGCTGAATGTGGTCTGTCGGCAGTTGATGTCTTTGGATTCGGTAGAGAGGCTCTTCTCTGACGTGTTCCACAGCAACCCCACCAACCACACGCGCATGTACACATTCGCCCTGGGCGTACTACCAGAGCGTAATGAAAAGCTGTGGGCCTGGACCAGAATGGTATGTGCTGTAGTAGAGTATATAAATATATATGTAAATCCTGGATCAGAATGGTATGTGCTGTAGTAGAGTATATAAATATATATTTAAATCCTGGATCAGAATGGTGTGCTGTAGTTGAGTATATAAATATGCATGTAAATCTTGGATCAGAATGGTATGTGCTGTAGTAGAGTATATAAATATATATGTAAATCCTGGATCAGAATGGTATGTACTATTTTAGAGTATATACATATATTTATATGTATGTGTAGTGGACCGGGGTACAACACATGTCTCTGGGTGAGGAGACATCACTGAGTCAGTGAATGGTGTTGCGAGAAGAGACATAACCTGATGGGTGAAGCCGCTGAAGCCATCGTTTGCATGGATAATAGGGCACTATGGGAACTAATGGTGTTAGTTAGAAATTGTGTGTAGAGGCTCGATGCAACGCTGACTGGGGGGCATCTATTCTGGTGTATTAGTTCTAGGGATATGTTTATATCATTGGTTTTGCCTATATTTTCTGTTTCTATATTTATTATGGTTAGACCTATATTTTCTGTATTTATATATGTTATGGTTATGCCTATAATTCTGTTTTCATATATGTTATGGTTTTGCCTATATTTTCTGTTTTTAGTCATGGTTTTGCCTATATTTTCTGATTTAATATATTTTATCGTTATTCCTATATTTTCTGTTTTTATGGATATTACGTTTATGCCTATATTTTCTATGTTTATGTGTTATGGTTTTATCTACATTATCTGTTTTTATACATGTTAAAGTTTTGCCTATATTTTCTGTTTATATGTATGTTATGGTGTTGCCTATATTTTCTGTTTTAAAATTCGTTACGGTAATGTCTATATTTTCTGTATTCATGTATGTTACGAATATATAATCCTATGTTATGAACTGAATAATTGTCCATGGAAGACGTTCTTTCCGCGATCGCTCACACCCAACGATCTATCTAATCACTTCTCCACCCTACTACACCCAGAACCACAATCGAGTGCATGGCTCATCTTTCCGTCTCTATTCCGTTACCTGCCACACCCTACAGCTTGATATTGCGGCCACCTCAGCCGCCAATGGCGACCTCGCAACACTCACCGAACTCGTCGATGACGTACTACCCATGATGGATGGCCTACAGTTTACCTTTGACGACTTGACTCAACTCGACACCAAGACGCGACTGCACGCGGGAGAAAAGCTAGAGGTCTGCGAGAAACTACTCGACGTGGATCAGGCGCATCGGTTGTTCAAAATGTTCGGAATGTCCGAGTGATAAAGCCTAGTAGCCTCGCACGCACAGTACGTAGGAGATACGTTAAGCCTAGTAGCCTCGCACGCACAGTATGTAGGAGATACGTTAAGCCTAGTAGCCTCGCACGCACAGTACGTAGGAGATACGCTGAGCCTAGTAGCCTCGCACGCACAGTACGTAGTAGATACGTTATTGGGCCGCCACTCGGCCTGGGGAGTGACACGGATCGAAACGATGGGGCCATAGGGGGCGCAGAGAGCTTGCTTCAAAAGTGTTTCAGCATATGTGTTCTTAGCTGCATGCACAACCCACGTGAACATGTTGCCGCCTTCAGCCAATGTGGTAGGTATTCAGTGGCGTAGATTACCTACTAGATGTAGTTTACCTACCAGACTACCCAGTCATCTCCGATACACCCCTACTCGGCCAGTATGTGGTTTGGCTCTACAGGTTCCCCATAGCATTCACATTGTATGGGCTTAATGATATGCATATACCACTTATAAAGCTGGGCGAACACGTACGTATTTGGGCCAAGATGTGGGAGGCAGTGAATAAACGCAAGTCTTAGTAAGTTGAGACCACCATCATCATATTATATTTAGCATGTACCGGTGCAATGCATACCCATGGCCTTCTGAAATAGACAGTGGACACCCATCCATGCCCAACGACCACGGGGCACTCGAAGAATAATTACATACCATACATCCATACACTTCAGCTGTTTATACTGGTCAGGTGCAACCATTTTAGTTTTTTAATTCGCGAAGTTTCAAAATCGTTGTAATCCTCCTGTGACTAACATGTGTACGCGGAGGTACGTGCATGCGAAGACCATTGGGCAAAAGAGGGAATTAGTTCACTTAAAGGAAAACGGATACACGTAGGACGGCTGGTGACAACATCTGTGAGAATATGTAACCGTTGAAAAATTAGACTAACCAGTAAACTCCAATTACCATCTGGCTAAATAAGCGACGACTCACAAAATCAGGTCACCTACACTTGAATCTTAAAAGATTATATCTATATATATATATATATATATATATATATTATTATATATTATATATATAGTTATATATACGCGCACACATACACAATAAAT